CGGGCAGCCCCTTGGCGGCCGCCCCGCCGGCGCCCCGCGCCTACAGCCTGCTGGACTGCTGCTGGGTGCTGTGCGCCCTGCTCGTCTTCTTCTCGGACGGGGCCAGCGACCTGTGGCTGGCGGCCGATTACTACCTGCGGCGCCAGCTCTGGTGGTTCGGCCTCACGCTGCTCTTCGTGCTGCTGCCCTCGCTCGTGGTGCAACTGCTCAGCTTCAGGTGGTTCGTCTACGACTACGCGGCGCCCCGAGCCCCCGGGCCGGCCGCGAACCCGGCCGCGGCCCCCGCCGCCAGCACCAAGGACAGCGGCTGCACCAAGGACAGCGGCCGGCCCGGCTCCGCGCTCCTCTCGCCTCCCCCCGCCCCGGCCCCCAGCGCCTACCGGACCCGGGGCTGCTGCCGCCTCTGCATCTGGATCCTGCAGTCCCTCATCCACCTCCTGCAGCTGGGACAGGTCTGGAGGTAGGGGCGGGCCCCGGGGGAGGGAGCCTGGCTTCGTGCCCCGCTCCCCTGCAGAGCCTGGGGCAGGGGGGGAAGGGGAGCGTGGGTTCCCGCCCCCCTTCCATAGGCAGCTCGGCCGGTTCATCCGGGAGCGGGGAGTCCGGGGAGCATGGGTGGATCTGCCCCCTTGGCCCGGCGAATTCACCTAGGACAGCCCCGGAGCCGTGTCTACACACGGGGCTCTTCATGTGCCCAGCCCAACCCAGGCCGGGGGCTTTAGCCGGGCTCCTTCTCCTCCCTGTCGCTGGAACTGGCAGGGGAAGGGGGTCCAGGACACAGGGATCTACCCCTGCCTTGCACTGCCCCTGGAACTCGGCTGCCAGGCCTGGGGGTCGGAGCCCTCCAGAGGCTCTGGGGAGCAGTGGAAGGGAGCTCGGTGCAGCCTGGATTTCCCTGAGGATGGGGGAAGGGGATCTGCCCCCACCACGTGCTCTGTCCCGATGGGGAGTTTGCAGCCTGCCTTTGGACTTGGCCTTTGAACAGTTCTGCAGCCGGACATCAGCCAGCAAGTGGGGGGAGGGGGAGGGTCCCTCCTTGCCCCTCAGAACCTAGCAGCCCATTGCCCACCTTCCCCTAGGACCTGCCCACTCCAAGCCCCTCACCCCCAGCTCTCCTGCTTCTAATTTCCAAAGCTTTCGAGGCAGTCCTGTCCCCAGCTACACCCATTCCCTCGCCCTCCCCCCCCCCCGGTGGAATATGGCCCCAGCTGCTTGTCTGGAACAGCTGGGCTGGAGCAGGAAAGGGTCTCTTCTGTAATCAGATCCCTGAGATCAACAGTTCATTAGCTGTGACCAGGGGGTGGCTGGTCCCCTGAGGCTGAAGCATACGGCCAGCATGGAGGGGGGAAGGTGACGGAGACGGGGGCTGCTTCCTCTTAGGTGTATGTCTTGGGGTTATTATATAAACTCCCTCCAGTGAGCCCCCTCCGAGAGACCTGGGCAAACCGGAGCCGGGGGGAGGGAAAGCCCTGGACCAAGACAGGCGTTGAGGGCTAAATGTAACTGATGTGCCATGGGGGTGCTTCACCTAAACCCCAGCCATGGGGGAGGGGGAGGCAGCACCTGGGCTAGGGGCTGTTTTGAGATATTACATTTATGGAGCGTTTTCATGGCATGAGGAAACAGGTACCAGATAAAAAGGCACCAGACAGGATCACCCCTACCCAGCCAACACACAAACACACACTCAGTTTATACTGCATGTGTGTGGACACCAGCCAAGCTGCCAGCCCCTCGTGAAGGGGTGAACGAGGTGTCCTGGTCCCTGTGGCAAGGGACCACGCCGAGCAGTCCATGGCTAAAGTGCTGCACTATTCTAATCTACTCACCACTTCAGTCAGAAACTGAACTGCTCAGCCTTGGTTCCCTGTAGGGCCTGATCCTGTGAGGTGCTGGATGCCTTTGGCTCAGATCAGGGTCCCATTCTGTGCCCACACCCATGGAAGTCAGCGGTGTCACATAGGATGTGCCGGGGTGGGGTAGCATTGGAGCCATAGCAGATCCAGCCTGTCCCCTTCCTTTGTCCCGTTCCTCTGCATTTCCTTCATCTGCTGCCCACCAAAATAGCTGGGGCCAGAGATGGTCCATGGGAGCAGGATGAGAGAGAGCACAGACAGGCACTCAACAGAGGTCAGCTCCACTGCCTGCATCTCTACTGGCTCTCCAGAACTCGGAGCTGAGCATTTACCGGCATGTCTGTTTCCCAGGGCCAGGCTACAGAGCTTCCCTTTCTTTTCTCCACCCCAGACAGCCGTCAACGCTCCCTTTCAGATTCACAGAGCTACAGACAGCACAAGGCAAAGGACCTAGGGCTCTGCAATGGAGCTGATTTCTAGAGAGGTTAATGCTGGGAAAGAAAGGGGAGGCCATGGCAAATTGCTGAACTGCAACTAGGAACTGAGGAGTTTGGATCAGGCTTTGGTGCTATTCCCACCCTGTATTTCTGTATTCTGTGGCCTTGTTTGTCTCAGCATATCTGTGTGGAGGTCTTTGTCTAGTACTCTTCCCGTGATCAGGTAGCATGAGGCTTCTCCAACTCTTTCGCAGTATAGAGCGCATCTTAATAGCGAGATTGTCTGTCTCGTCTCATTCATGGCTGCATAGACCGCCTTCCTGCCCATTCGTGATCCCAGCCCATGGCATCTGCAGCAAGTGCTTACCAGGAAAAGCGCTATTAGGGAAATCTGTTGTGTAAAAACGGTCTTTAATGTGCTGTAGCAGCTGGAAACGTGGAGGAGAGCCAGCACCTTGGGACCAGCCAGCTGTCTACAGACTGTTAGCAAGTGGTCCTGGGCCTACCAGTGCTCCACGGGTCACAGTTTGAGAATGGCTCCGCTACAATTACATTGTAGTCATTGGTTCATGTCTTATTTTATTTTTTTGCTCCTGGTTCTATAAATAATCTGCCCCCTTGAGCTGTTCTAGTGGGGTAGGTTTTAAGCCAATTAAAGTGGTAGCTCTCAGAACTGATCTCCTGGCCACGTTGGACTCAAATTGCAGATCCGTCTCTATCTAAACTTGGGATTTGTTATTTGTTCCCGTGACCAGTTACCTGCACTTTACTACACTCATTACCGAGGCTGGGTTTGGTGCAGGTTCTAGGTGTTGAATTATTGCTTGTTAACTGTGCATGTGAAGAGAAGACTTTTCCTTGAGCTCCTTTGTCAGTGTGGACCTGGGCCTGGCCCTATTGCACTGGGGCCTTTTGTGCACCACAACTTACATTCAGTCAAAGTGTTTACAGGCCTGAGGCCCAGCTTCACTTTTGTGAGAACAATTTGCACCTGCAGAATTTGCCCCTGCGTTTTTGCAACCTGCAGAATGAATTTCAGCACAAGCCTAAAACTGCAGTTGGGTTAGAGTTGCTAACACCGCACTTTGTCCTGCAGCTGAACTGTAGGCATAAAAGTGAAGGCACAAGTTTTGTGGGTGCAAACTGTATCTGCCTATGTGCCCAATAATGTGTCCTTGCTAGAGAGCACTAGTGTTTAGCTTATCTTGATTTAAAGGTACTGTAGCAATCCATTAAAGTCCACTGTAATCAGCCCATTCACAATAATCATGCACAATCATTCTTGTGGGTATCCCATAGAGACGGTATCAGTTGCATGAGAGTGAACATGTGTAATCTATTCAGACTACCCGCAGGCAAGTGTACAAATGCTGGGAAATGTGCCTTCACATTCGACCTGTTCCGAGCCTCCATAATTACGAATGGTCAGAAGAGGGACAGTTCCTTGCATGCAGATTTCCAGCCCAGTCTTAAATGCCCTTCCTAGCCAATAGAGCACAGCCATGCTCAGTTTGGGGATAGTCGGATGCAATCAGCACACCATTAGCAGCCCAGATCAGGCTGTGTTTCATCGTGTGTCTCATGCTGATGAGATTTCTCAGTTTACAAATTCCTACCCACTTTGCTTGCAAAAGGTCAAAACTATCTTCTCTAAATGGAGAAATATCAAAGGGAAAGAAAGTCCTTTGGGGTCTGTTCTCCCCCTGACACGCTTGCCTGCCTCCCATTAGTGTTAATAGGAGCATGTGCACATGCCAAGGGGACAGCCTTCTCCAGGCTGTGCACATCACGCAATGTATTTGCATTTGGTATTCATTTCTCTCTGTCTTGTAATGGCTTTGCTCAGAAAAGCTCGGCTTGGATGTGGCATCTGTTTTCCCAGTCGTGTTCTGCTTCCACCCAGTTTCACATCTGGTTTGGTCGAGGCACAGTGGGGCCACATGATTTCCCAGAGGTCACACAATAGCTCAGAGGTCATTCGCTGGCTCTGCTTGAATGCTTAATATTAACTCTACTTGGCATTTCTAGATCACTTTCCATCCAAGGATCTCAGTGCGCTTTGGAGACATTTCATTAGGCCTCCATGTGCGTCCGATCTTATCATCATCCCCGTTTAAATGGGGGGATAGCAAGGATCAATGACTTGCCTGTGATGATACAGAAAAGCAAGGCCCCTATTCCTGAAACTGGATCCACATGGCCCCCAGCAGGGCCCCATTGACTTCAGCGCTGTTCAGGTGCAAGAGTCTGCCTGTGTGGATCCAGTTGCATAGTTGGGGCCTAGGTTTGTGGCAGAGCTGGATACGGACTGGAGATTGGCTGACTTCTAATCCTGTGCCTTTAGCCACGGGATTCTCCTTGGAACACGCGGCCCTTCTGTTTGCCAGGCCTTTGCTCTAACCACTCAAACAAGCAGGGATTCCTTGGAGTCCCTGATTACACCATTTTCTTGGCTATAAACTGGGCCTATTAAAAAACAACTTGTATTGAAATCAGCCAGTTCCCCTGTTGTCTCTTTCGGGTCCCACCAGTTTCTCCTGGGCAGCGCACTGGGCTGATCTGTGTTTTTCAGAGCATGAGCTGGAACACCCAGTGGCTGTGGGTCCTCACTTGGGATTTGAAGAAGCGTTGGGGGTGGGTGGGAAAGGAAGGACTTAAAGCTTTTAATCAATGCGTTGATGTGACATCATTCAGACTGTGCCACATGGAGCTCTTTCTAATTATTTCACTTTGCAAGATGTATAATGGATTAAAATGGCTGCAACTGAAAAGCAATTTTCTTCTTGTTTAAATAAAGGATTACGGAATAATATCCCAAATTACCTTTTAGGAAAATTGTACTCTGTATCAATTACTGTTAGATCAGTGGGTCTCTCTTGTTTTTTCCTCTCAGGATAATGATTAATGAATTTAGTTACAACTGGGGCTAGGTTCTTTTTGGTTTCAACACTTGAAAATTGGAGTCAGTAATTGGAACAAGTTAAGGACAGAGCTGGCTGGCAAAGCTGAGGAGATGCTGGTATTGTTTTGGATTATTTATATCACTCTGAACAAGGTTAATAATGAGGGTCTTTAGCTGGCCACTTGCTGTGCGGCTTGTCTCGGGGTGAGCCTTGCAAATGAGAATGTGCATTTCAACAGGTTTATTGTGGAGGCGCGAGGTTTAACGT